TATTATATATATATATATATATATATATATATATATATATATATATATATATATATATATATATATATATATATATATAATATGTTTATCTGTATATTTAAATATCTATATGTTTATATTTGTTTAACTGTAGGTGTATACCAATTTTTGATCTATTTGTATGACTGCATATGTAACTTTATATATGTGTATGTCATTCAATCTATTTGTCTATCTATCAATTCACTCTAATCAGCCTTATGTCTTACCAGTCTTATCAACCTAATCTTTTCTCTCTATCTACCAAGATATTTCTAGAGATCAGAAAGATCTCCATATTCTTCAAGAGACAGATATAAGAAATATTTTTAAGAAGTCCATAGACAATTATCACTTTTACCCTCTTCAGATAATTGCAAGATGAAATACAGTTACAATTTTTGTTTTTCATCAGTTTTATTAGTATGTTTTGTAAAGTTTTGTGATGGTAAGCTGTACATATGTATCTGCTAAGAACATGAAGATACACACAAGCACTTTATGGGAAATAATCATTAACTTTTGGCAAGATATAACTGATATGCCAAATTAATATGAATAGGACATATTCTTGCTTCTATTACATGTGAAATTTATAATGTAAATAATTCAGCATTATAAAGAATATTCCATCATTCCCGTTTTGAGTGAGTATTTAATTGCTTCATATTATAGTTTTTTTATAATTATTTTAGATATGAAAAGTAAGCTCAAAATGTCACAGGTACATTATGGTGTACCTGTCTCAATATAAAAATGTCTTCAGAATAAAGAATTTAGTATAAATTGAAATAGCAGTACACGTTACATGTAATCTCGGATTTCCTTATTTATCTTTTCATATTTTAGTATCTTGATAGATACTAATAAAGATTATCGATCCAATGCCACCGTGGATGACATGTACACACGTCATGCCTGCTGTGAGCTTAGTTTATCAATTGAATTTACACACAGATGGTTCCACAAGTCTCTAGTCACCAGTGAACCAATTACTAGTACTACCTATCTCACCTGTTTACTTTCTCCCTTGGTTTTCAAAAATATTTCATCTTCTTCTACTGTTAGTAACATCAGTAACATTATAATAATTATGATGTCTATAATAATAATAATAATAACAGCATCAATATTGATAGAAGTATAAAAAACTTTTTCCCGAAAACTCAATTAAATCAGGTGAGGTTGACAGATTGACTATTGGACTACTTGGTGGCTAAACACTATGTTCAGAGACATTTCACAGAACACTACTGTGGTGAACACTACATTTTCCTGGTGGCTCTGGGTTGAATGAGACTTGTGCAACATTTCAGTATTACCTAGGTGTAAATGTGATAATGCCTTTGACAAACTAACATCTAAGAATGTATTTTCTTTTCTTCATATTTACCACAGGATTAAAATTAATAATTATAAGGTTTATTCAGTCAAAATTGTAATTTCTATTTCTTTCCTGGAAAAGGAATAATAAAAAAAATAGCATAGAGCATACAGTTTTTAATATGCATATGATACAAATGATTTTTAAATGCTTTTAACATTTTGAAATACAGCTATACAATATCAATGTATAATACATCAGGACATCTGTACATGATGCTTCCAAATTTAAAATAAATTATTATACAAGCCTTGTCAAAAATAACAAGTCCGAGATGATCCTCTCCTGCATAGCTACCAGTGCGTAAGCTGGAGGCAAAATAAGGTATTAAATGCAATAATTCACTTTATATAATTTGTACAAAAAGGAAATTGTGCTATATACTTTTTGAGGCACATATAATATAGGATGTAAAACAGGCAAAAGTAGCCTAAAATGACAAGGTATCTGAACCCATTTAAATAGATGAAGACACTAAACTATTCAATACATTCCACATTTATGCTCTAAATGCAATAAAATGCAGTAGTAACTAGCTTATGCTGCTTTGCTTGGAGCGGTCATACTAACTTGTGAAAGGATCAACTGCCAAGAAACTAAAATTAGGAATTTATTTTTCGGTGATTTTCCTTGCAGTATTTTAGAATATCCAATTGTTAGGCAATCAATACCTCAAGATACAGTTCCTATCCTCTTACATCATATACAAGTTCAGTCATACGTATCTTACAACATGGCTATTCAACTGGTGACCCAAGGGCCAAATCAAGCCCTTGAATTGATTTTCATTCAATCTAACTCTGACAGAGAAACATCAAAACAAATTTACAAGTTTCTAAAGCAAAACTTTATTTGATTTTAATACTTTTCATTTATCTATAGGAAAACGCAAAAGACAAAGTATATATATCTTTTACTTCATTTAATAAGTATTTAGAAAAAGAAAGAAGGAAAGAAAAAAGGTAACCAATCTGAGTTTTATAATTTGGCCCTTCTCCAACAGTAATTAAATAGCCCTGTCTTACAAGCTAGTTACTCCACTTGCCGATCACCACAGGAAACAAAACTTAGTCCCTTAGACTCTCAAGGGAAAAACAAGTCTCAAAAGGAATACTGCTGGCCTATCAGCAGTGATTTCATCACATTCTTGTCAAGTAAGTGATCAATATACTAACATTGCTACTCATTAAAAATTGGAATAACAATAATAAAAGAAGTATCAGTAATAAATGCACCCCATCTGCCAACTACCAACCAAAGTCATTCATAATTATACACACCTACACATCTCTCGCTCTAATTAAACTGCAAGTAAAATTTCCGTCACAAATTGTAGCAAAGAATGTTACACGAGATTGTAACAAATTGTTGTCAACATGGTATAAAAAATAACATCTTAACTATATCAAGTTATTAACAAAAGCATGTGTGCCTGTAACAAATGCAAACAAAGTAGCTTTGATCTGTTTTTCATTTGTTCAAATTGGCACAAGAGAGTTTGAGAAAAAAAATCTGTACAAGTTGAAGACTAGATAATAGGCATGTCCATTTTCCAGCAGGACATAAAAGGATACAGCTTACCTTGATTTCTTAACAGCTTTTTGATTCAGACCATGTTCCAGAGAGTTTAAACACTAGCCATTTGGTCAAGGCAACTTCTTCACAGATCTCCTTCACTGCCATGGACAAACTTTGGTATGTACAGAACAGATATCCTACCCAAAAACAGATATCCTATCCAAATATTCCCACTGGTTTAGACATTTCAATGCTATCTACCCTTAAAGCATATTGGTTTTAAGGTTCTGAATATCAGAATTCCAATTAACTTCCCTGACAGTGCTAGACTGGAAGCATTCTAATATTAAAACTATCAGGAACATGGTCTATCATCTTCATATGTTTATGAAGTCCCTGAAGAACCTAAAATGAGGGTGACTTGGCTCTTTGCAAGGGACCTGTCAGCAAATTTGGAATGTTTGGTAGACAGTTCTGTATTTGAATGAAAAGGCCAGTGTTATTTCAAAACAAAACTTACATATTTTCTGGAGGTTGTATTAGAAGTATTTTTTTCCAGGCACTATATCACCAAATATGTGAAGCTAGTAGAAGCAGCAATGAGACTAGAAAGAGAGAGAGAGAAAAAAAACACTTGCCTCTTCTTTTCAGCATGACAGCAATCAGCCTACCATTAAAATGAAGAGTTTTTTTTGTGCTATGTGGAAGCATAAACCCCTTGAAGGATCCAGTGAACACAACAGAAGTTACTGGACAACAATCACAGTCACATCTCAGATTATGAGACCAAAGACACTCAAACTCTTTAGATCACTTGGAAATAATCCACAAACTATACTGAAATTCATCAAGTCTTTGGGCAATATCTGTGAACATAACTGCTGCTTGATGGACTTCATGCAGATCGTCTTACTGGTGACCCACAAGTTTTCAAATATGAGGAATTTGATCTCAGTTCTGAAAAGCATTGAAAGTTCCCTGTGACCTGTGCCTCAAGGTCAGACAGAGATGAGCACCAGAATGATGTGGCATTTATAACATGCTCATCAAAGCACATACTCCTGATCTTCATTAAACCCAAGATCATTTCTCCGCTTGGAATATGCCTTACAAAATATAGGCTTCTGTATATCTTCTGAACACAGAGTACAACAGCAAAAAAGCTTTCTCAGTTATCTTGGAAGTGTGGCTACAGAATTCCTCCTCAATAAATGCATACATGTCATGAAAGGCTCTGTCATTTGAATAAATAGATAGGCCAACATAAAAAAAAATGTCTTCAACACCAAAGCTGAATTCAGGACTTGAACACATGTCACTTCTTAAACAATATACATCATCGTCCTTTAGATGTTTTAGCTCTTTTATTTTTTGCACATGTATGAATATAGTAGTTGTTAGGCTTTACAACATTCTCTTCATTCGCTCAAGGAAAATCCTTATCAATGCAACTCTTCACACACAAACTGTACATAGGTCTGATGCAAATCTCAGACAACACCTTCCATAAAAGTGGTGTCCAAATGCTGGATCAGAGTTCGAATAAAGGCCATCTCCTTGCGAGTGTTTTCATAGATGACTCGAGGATCGTCACTTGTGCACCGGAGGCAATTGGGGGCCATAACCATAGCTAAATTGCTGGCATCCATCTTGGTGGCTGTTACAATATCAGGCTGGGCAAAGTACTGCAGAAACCTGGGGGAATAATCATTTCAATTATCTTTCAAATATAGTCTTTGCATTTACTTTTACAGGATGAAATCATTTCAGTATTTTTTGGGGGGTAAATCAAATCCTTTCAACAGAAGAGGAACTTGAATATGATAATAACTTACCTTATAAGGTATGATAGTACAAGCCTGTTAATTTCTGGTAGCTTATTAACAAGAGCAACAGCCTGTGTAGGATCATCATGAGCATTAATGGCTGCCTGATATAAGGCATCAGGTATGAGAGGCTCATAAAGTTCTCTGTACCAAGTCTTGAGCAGGGCAGCTGCAACATGTGCATCCACACAGTCACCCACCTCCCACTGCTCAACAACCTGCTTTAGCTGATGAACCTGCAAGAACAATTATAAATTATAACAATACCCTTAACCTCCTGTGAAAGATGGCACTGTCATTACAATAAACCAGCCTTTGATTTTCTAATTGTGTCCTGGTAGGTGCCCAGATTTAGTCTTGGTGGTTTTATTAAATGTACTGGAGAGCAACACCATAACTTTTTTACAGCTAACTATTCCATCTTTGATAACTGAAAAAGTACATAACCCAAAGCTTCCTGCAGAATTTGGGGTGCACTTAGCCTTGCCTAATGGGCCTATTTAAGACTCGGCTGGTGTGTCACACTCACCGCACAGTATCACAAATGCAATATAATTTCTTTTGGCATCACTTGTATCCAGAACATGTTACTAATGTTTTTGCATATTCAGAGATGATGATATTTATTTTGGTTGCTATATAAAGGCCTGCAGTAGCCTGAGTATGTAAATTAGAGTTCATCTCAATAAATTAGATGTGTTACACTCTGTGGAATGTGGTTTTATTGAGGGATGAAAATAGGAAGTCCTTTCATTTTCACAAATCTTATTCTAACAAAATAAGAGATTGTATAGAGTTATATACAAGGCTCCTATTCCTATGACAGTACTTCCCTTATATGTCATATTTCAAGACAGCCACCTTAGCAGAGTGCCATAAGACATTCTGAGCAATTGACACAAGGAAACTGATCATGTAAACTGGAGTGAAGGTTACTTATAGGTTCACAGCAGCAGCTCAAGACCACAATTTTTTGGTGCATGACATCTTCAAGGGATAACTGACAAATAATTTTTTGAGCTAAATAATCACCTTTCATACTATACAATATAGCCAATCAGAGAATTACTGTTGTCCCTCTTGCAACGCCTCTGGGTATGTGGAGTGTGGGCATCAGGGTACCTTACCTTAAATATAATGCAAAATATGAACTGCCTATCCTTCATAGCAGCAACAAAATAAGCCATGAAGAAGATAGCATGTCACCTGGAGCCAAGACCAAGTCAGCCATGATTTGGTCATCTAGAGGTGCTAGGTTAGGAAACAGTGTGCTCTACATATATTATAAAAAAAAAAAAAAAAAAAAAAGAAAAAAAAAAAAAAAAAAAAAACATAATCATTAAAATTATGAATGAAACATTTGTCTTACCTCATCAAAGTCTGCAGGAACTCTGAAAATTCCCTCAGTATTCGTACCCTGAAGTCTCAGAACCTCCTCAGAGAGAGTTGTTTGAACCCAAGGTAGTCGTCGGTGTGGATATCTGCACATATTTACCTTGTGTTAGCCTAGGTCGAAACCTTATTGATATAATCATGTAACTGCAGAGGGTGAACATAACAGAAACATCTTTCTATTATTTAAGGATGATTGAATTTATCAATAAAAAAAATTAAAGCCTGAGTAGTGTTGTCCTCTAAACAATAATATTTTCTTCCCTAATCTGCAAACCTATTTCTTAAAATTTCTAAACAAACTGTCAAACAGTTCATATATTACAAATAATTATTCATGTATAAGCTATTATCCACTCAGGGTAATGGCTGCCACCTGCCAGAACCAAAATCCTTTGAAAGAAAGCATCATCCTAGCCCTTGCAAGGGAGTTCATGATGTAAAACCAAATCATTCATCTATAAGCTATTCCTCTTGAATTCAAACTTTTTAATGAAGAGTCTTCTAAAGGTCATACAATCTTTCGAAATTAGGAATGAAACAAAACTGTATCTGCACCACATACCTATCCTTCTGGAGTGCCATCACCTCCTCTATGGTGCCACCAAACATTGAAGCTCGGAATATGTGTAAGCGGGCAAGGTCAATTTCCTCCAGTGTCGGTTTTCTCAATCGCTGTCTCTTGGCATTAACTGAAGTTCTCTCCAGACGTTTGTTGCAAACTCCAGCATAATGAGCCACCTGCATAAAAATAATAGAATAACAATGCAAAAATGAAAAATGCTTGTGAATGATGAAATTATTTACTCTAGATCAACACTAGGTTCTTTTTATCATCAGTCAGGAATACATCTTATTTATTCATTATATCATCATATATCTTTTAAGAAGATAAATTTAGTTTATCTGACTTTATACTTATCTCCTCTCTAACTATTCCTTTGTTTATGATTCCTTTGAAAATACCCTAGTTAAGTCATCAAAATTCACCTAAACTATATGATTTGCCTGAAAATAACTTTGAAGTACATAACATGCATTCCTTTATGTTTAAAAGTGCTATATGAGTATAAACTTTGCACTGTTTAAGACTTATCTGAGAACCACCTGCTTTAAATATTAAAATATACACAAGGAACTGAATTGGAATGCACAGACTGCAGTGGCATTAAAGTCATAATTCAAAATGTAAAAATGAATGCACAAACCCTAATATGTACTGTATATTACTTCTAAAAAAAAAAAAAGAAGTAAAACCTGCATGAAAAAAATAAGCACATACACAATTTCAATCTGGATTTAATCCTAAACTAAACTTAAGCAGATGTCCAATATAAAAAAAACAAATAAGTTCAATTCACA